GGTGTGAAAAGGATAGCTGTAGATACGCCGCATTCACTTCTGTAACTTGTCCCCATCTCTTTATTTGCTAAGTCTCTGTGAATAACGGATTATTATTTCTTTATGAACGCATTTAATCACGAATCACCGAGCAAGCCTGTTTCATTTAAGCAGTTATAAGAGGACAGTATCAATCTCGCTTGCAATATGAAACCTCAAAGAGCTGGAGACTCCTCAGAGCTGAGGTGGTTTGGTTTTGCTTTAAGGCTGGCCAGCAGACCTCTCTGGATCCAGTTACTGGTTGTGTGGTGCTCTCCGAAGTTGCTCACTTGCAGAGAGGTAAATGCTGTGGCTCTGCATGCAGACGTGTGAGTATGAACCCTTGCCTGTCGGCACCGGCTTGTATGTTGTCTCCGTGACTTTGTAACATCATTTATGCTGGGGTAGTAAGAGCTGGCAACCCATCTTATGTGTTTTACTGTGACTTTAAACGAGTCAAGGACGTTTTAAGTCCAGGAAAGGTCGTTGACGGATTTTCTTAAAGTTAAAAGAAAATATTGCAACATTTTCCATTACCATTATCTCTTGGAAATAGCATGACGAGCACTGCACAGGAGTTATTTAACTGACTGTCATTTTATAGAAGTTCTGTTCCCTTTGGCAAGTCCATCACGCCTAGGAAGAGAACCAGCATGCCAGAAAGTCTGTTTCCAGCAAGCTTTCTTTTTTTCTAAAAAAAAAAAAAAAACAAAACCACACACACAAGATGGACCGAGATGGGGTTTGTCTCCAAGGTAGTTCAGTTTTTCAGCACTGTGTTTAAAACTTTAGGAATTATGTTTTGTAGTGGGGTAGAGAAGTGTCAAACAAAAGATGTGGGATTCGGTGGGGTGGAAGAGTGGGTGATACTCACGAAGCATCAGGATCTGGTACTCCAGCTAATGAGAAATAAGTTTGTATTTTGTACATCCAAGAACCAGGCCTCCCGTGGGAGCAAACAGCGAAAGTTTTGTTGCATTCAGTGGAGACAAGATCAAGGCCACAACAACCCACTGGCCAAGCTCTTGTTACTGCTCCGCTTGGTGCCTGAATCTTCACCTGGGTACCACATCAAGAGTGGGATATATGGGTATTCTCACGGTGTATTCAGCTTAAAGATTAACTTAACTTCAAAGCGGT